GTAAAACAGTGTGGCCTTTTGCGTATGGCTACAGCGCAATGCCGTAGCTACAAAAACGGCATTGTGCTATATTTCGCCACTAGGAGAGAACAATATGTATTGGTGTTATCATGATCACACACCTGCCAAGTCTCCCGCATTGTCAGGGAGACTGCCGTATTTTGACTGTTTCTTCCAATTCTACGGTTGCCATGAAAATCTCCCAGAAATAAAAAGTTGTGTGCGAGATCTGGCCGCATTGACAAAAGTGCAGGTTAGTCCGTTTCAGGCTTTTTTCAAGCCCGCCGCATTTAATTATAAACGAATTCGAGAGGCATTCATCTAAATGTACAGTAGAGTCTCAGTGATGCGAAACTGCGGCAAATACGAATTTGCGAAATTCCCCAGCCAAATTCATGTGTCCATTGGGCCAAAATTCAAATGTTCCGAACACTTTTCTTAATCGCGGCGTGTGATATGAACTTAAGTAGTAAAACCATCAAACGAAGGCCGATCTAGAGCACCGTGCTCGAAGCTTTGGCAGTACGTGTGCGATCAGCGCACGCACTGTCTTCTACAGTGTGTGTGGTTGTCGTTGCCACCACCACTGTGGACTAAACTGCAGCCGTTTGACACGTTCATGTATTGCGACGACGTTACTGACAGAACTTCGAAAGTGTGCGCGCATCCAATGCTCGACCAGTCGAAGAAACGCTGCTTTCTGCAAACTATGTGGACAAAACCGTGTCAGTTGTGATCATAGATAGCATAAAACGACTTAGTTTTGAACGCACATGGATTGAAAACAAAACTATCGTTTCCGCAACCATCATGCTCAAAACTGTGTTCGTGGCGATGCGATAGCGATCTACGAGCTCCGAGGGCACATGGCTGTCGCAGCGGTAGATTAAAGGCGGTGAAGACGTAAAAAAGGCTAGAAGCGTTTAGGCGTTCCTGTCCAAAGAATCTAGTTGCGAGCGAAGCCAAAGCTTTGGCCCGCGCTTTTGGGGCAGCCAGCTGCGGCTTCCCGTCCGTTCACGTGTGAAGACATACGCGAGTTCTTTTGACTGAAATCGATTTTCTTGCTAGTTGTTTTGATGATGCGAAATTTCGAAAGAATTCCCGCTCCCCCTTTGAGACTCTCACCTTGGTGGGAAACCCTATCCTCGTGTGTTCAGCCACTCTAAGCCATTATGAGACTGCAACGCCGATGTTTACGCTTGTGTTTGGGAGCCCCTCCCCCCCTCTTGTTTTTGGCGATGCCTTTTTTTTGCTTTTTTTTTTAATGCCAGAAGTGGGGAAAAATAATTCAGCGCGTCGATTTGACTTATGGTAGCAAAACATGATTACGCTTGTCGCTAAAGGCAAATTCATCACAGCTACAAATTAAAAATAAAATCGATACCCAACCCCCTTTCCCGCTCGGGGGTTTTACGAATTTCTCTGTTGCCAGGTTGCCAGGTGTGATTGCTGCTTGAGTGACACTTGTCAGCAGCACTCATGTGCCAGGAAACAAATGATGCGTGGGGCAGTATTATCGATTTGCACTTTATACGACATATATTGGTAATAGCAAAGTAATTGTGCCTAGGGTGTCCAGAGGATTCATATCGCAATAAGAATATGTGACTACAAATTGTAAGGCAGCGGAATCAATCTCTGTTTTAATAAATTCATCTAGATGTGCCACACTTTTGAGAAACAGTGAAGTTCCACCCCGATAGGGAACTTCTTTGACAGCGCACAAGTATTTCGTTGCCCTCCTCTCCGACTGAAACGCAACAAAGCAGCTGACATCATCAAGAAATCATTCCCCCCTTTTCATAGCTTTCTGTAATTCAAAATGGGCTAAATGTTACACTATTGTAAAAAAAAGTACATTGATGTGGGTGCTAGAGCCAGCCATCACTCACAGGAAACACATGAGATACCAGGCCTATGGAAGACACTGTGTTGTCTAAGTAAACCTAAGCTGCAAATTACACAATTATGAAAGGACACACTACTATGCACAAATGATTGCTCGTGGCACACACAGAAGGTGTCACTTTGAAGGCACTATGCCATGCACACAGCTGTGCTAAAACTATGCCCGATGATTGCCATGTAGCTTCACTTTGAGATCTTGGCAGTCAGTGTTCACCTGAATAAAAATAAAAACTGTGATGTTATTCTTAAGAACTGCTACATGCCGTACATACCATATGTACAAATAATTAACCAGAATAATGAAAGCGTAGTGATACACATTCACTGCCTTTGAGAATATGAATTTCGGTGTTTATGAATCTCTCAAGGCTTTACCCAGTGACTATTTTCTTGTGGTCAGTAAATCTCATTAAAATTTGCTGGCCTGCGTGTGATGCGTGGCAAGTGGTGTTGCATTGAGGTTGCACACCATTCCCCGTGTAAGTACCTGATCAGTCGCCAAACACTCACAGCTAACAATTACCCTTTGTCTCGATATTGGAGCACTATAGCTACAGTGATACAAGTGCTGCTCCAATTGCTCCAGAAGAGAAATGCTGCTTCATTTCGCTCCATACAGTAATTTTTGTTAGTAATTGCTCCAAACCTGCTCTGAAATGATACTGAAAGTACGATCCATAAGTGTACTGCGCAAAAAACAGACCGAAACACGAAGTAGACAAAAAAGACAGACAAGCACTTGTCTGTCCTTTCTCTCTACTTCGTGTTTCCGTCTATTTTTTGCGCAGTACACTTATGGATCAGTACAAACTTGCCCAACTAGTGATTTTTCTTAGAGTATGAGAATGACGAAATTTGTATTTGACCGACTCGTAAGTCGTAAATAAATTAAAAAGAATCTGCGTGCTATCACCCAGTGTGTTACTAGTTGTTACATGTGTAGATTAACTGATGGCCAGGCGGTAGTGACAACCGTGAACAGTAGGCCATCAGGCCCGCGAAGAACACGAGAACATCTTGAGCCCTCAGCCCAGAACGACCTGTTTTATTATTTCCCAAAACGGCCACCCCGCTGCTGTGTCAGGCTTGCACAGCTCAACACAAAACTATCAGTGCCGCGTAAGGGCGCTGCATTTGAACCAACATTGTAACACTCCTCCCCTCTTAGGAGGAAGACTACGGGGAATACCTATTCACCGGTTTCCTAGTTCTTGTGCCACGTCGCAACTTCGGCGTGCTAGGCGTAGGCGTGACAGAGTCACTGTTCAGATGCACACCCCAGTTGAGCGCAGTCGAGCGCAGTCCCGTCACTCTCTGTGGCACAGCTACTCCCAGAGAAGCTAGTTCCAGGTAGCTGTTCCTGATGAGGCACTTCTGGAATAGCTGGCACATGATGAAGCGGCGGCTCCAACTGTGGTGGAGCTGCAGCGTTAGCAGTTTCAGGAGAGGCCAACGTTTCTGTCTGCACAAGGTGCAAGTGGTCGCTGTGTCGGTTTCCCAAGGTGCCATCTTCTAAACGGACACTGGCTGATGATGGAGTGACGTCCACGACACTGGCAGCCACTCAGGGTGTGCCCCTGCGAAAGTTACGCGCGTACACATCATCACCTGGCTGCAGTGATGGAGCCTGCCGGCACCCTCTGTCAGCATACAACTTCTGCTTGAGTTGTTTTAGGAATACAGATGCCTTCAGGCTTGGCCTGAGGACATCCAATGCAGTCTTGAACATTCTTCCTGTCAGGAGTTCACACGGTGGCCGACCTGTCACTTCATGTGTTGTGGTCCTATAGTGGAACAGAAACCTGGAGATCTGCGTTTGGAAGTTCCCAGAACCAGGCTTCTTGAGTTTGTTCTTCACAGTTGGTACAACTCTTTCAGCTGCACCATTTGAGGCAGGGTGATACGGCGGTACAAGCATGCGGCGTATTCCATTTCGAGTTAAGAACTCAAGGTACTGGGCACTGGTGAAGGCAGGACCGTTGTCTGAAACTATGATATCAGGCAGGCCATGCTGAGCAAATGCAATTCTTAATGCAGAAATGGTAGCTTCTGCAGATGTAGAAGACACAGGAAAGACTTCTATCCACTTTGAGAACGCATCCACAATAACCAAGAATGTGTGACCTAGAAATGGTCCCCCAAAATCAATGTGAAGCCTTGACCAGGGTCGCTGTGGAAATGGCCACGGCGTCTGCTGAACCGCCTGTGCAGCTCGATGTTGAGTCTGGCATGTAGCGCAGCTCTTCATGTGTTGGCAATATGATTGGCAATGCCTGGCCACTAAACATGGCTTCTGGCAATCATCTTGCTCTTCTCGATGCCCGGGTGGCTGGCGTGAAGAACACCAAGAACTTGGGTCTGCAATGACTTTGGGATCACTACTCTTGATCCCCAGAGTAGGCAACCCTCATGGAGACTGAGTTCTGAGCTTCTGGTATTGAAAGGGTTCCACTATGGTCCTACTGGAAGGCTTTCTCCTTTCAGAACTGCATGAACAACATGGCCCAGAAGTGGGTCATTTCGTGTGGCTTGGGCCACAACACCTGGTGAAAGGAGTCTAGGATATGCCTCCTCTAGCTAGAAGATTTCAGCAGGTCGTGGTAATGCAGTAGTGTCAGTTGGGAGAGGCAGTCTACTAAGAGCATCACGTGGCCGAGCTCTTTGCCAGGCTTGTATACAAGTTCGTACTTGTAAGCAGACAGCTTCAGAGCCCACCTGACCACTCGAGGTGAAGCTTGCAAGGGAACGGGCTTGTTGGCACCCAGCAGTCGAAGAAGTAGCTTGTGGTCAGTGTGTGCTTCGAATGAGATGCCCCACAAGTACTGGTGGAACCGATCCACATCAAACACTAAAGCCAGTGCCTCCTTGTCGGGTTGACTGTAGTTTTGTTCTGCTTTTGGCAAGCTTCTCGAGGCAAAAGCAATGGGATGTTCCCAGCCATCAGCATCTTTGTGTGCCAGAGCTGCACCTATACCATGAAGCGATGCGTCACAGCTGAGGCAAACATGCCTGGCAGGGTTGAAATGCACAAGAACTGGAGCTGATGTCACCAAGTGCTTGCAGGCAGTGAATGCATCTTTTTGTTCTTGTCCCTACTCCCACTTCTTCCCTTCACAAAGAAGCAAGTGCAGTGGACGAAGGAGTGACGAAAGATTGGGTAAGAAGCGCCTGTAGAGGTTTACAAGTCCCAAGAAACTCTGAAGTTCTCTGACATCCTGAGGCACAGGAGCATGCAGAATGGCTGCTACCTTGTCAAGATTCGGGGAAAGGCCTTCCTTGCTGATGATGTGCCCGAGATACTCAACTTGCGGCACGAAGAAATGGAATTTTTCTAGTTTCAGCTTGAGGCCCGATTCCTGAAGCTTGCTAAGTACAGCACGAAGGTTGCGAAGGTGCTCAGCATTATTTGCGCCAGTCACAAGAATGTCGTCAAAATAGACTGCTACATGGGGCAGTCCCCTGAACAAGTTCTCCATCTCGCGCTGAAATATGGCAGGAGCAGATGAGACACCAAAAGGCAACCGGGTGTACTGAAATAACCCCATATGTGTCGAAATGGTGACATACTCCCTAGAGGCCTCGTCAAGGACAACTTGCTGGTACGCATCTCGCAAATCCAATTTTGTGAATTTCTCACCTCCAGCAAGCACAGTCCACAGGTCCTCGATCCTTGGAATGGGGTACTGCTCCACTGTTGCCACTGGGTTTATGGTGACACCAAAGTCTCCACAGATTCTGATGCGTCCATTCCTTTTGGTCACAGGAACAATAGGTGCAGCCCACTTTGCTGTCTTGACTGGAACAAGAATGGAATCTCTTCTTAGTCTATGGATTTCTTGAGTTACTCCATCTGTCAAGGCGTACGGCAGTGGACGTGGCTTGAAGAACCGAGGCGGAGCATCTGAAGGAACATGTAGAGAAGCTTTAGCACCCTTGAGTGTACCCAGGCCTTCTTCAAACACTTCGGCGTAGTCTTGGACTAGGTGTTTGACGTCAGAAAGTGCGTGGATGTTCACTTCAACATCGGAGACGCCAATGCCCAGCTCACGCATCCAGTTGCGTCCAAGAAGAGTGGGCGATCCATCTCCGGTCAGAAAAATAGGTAGGTCGGCCTCTCTGCCATGAAACTTCACACTCACGTCAGCTTTGCCCTGAACCTTTTTTAGTTCCTCGGAATAGCTTCGCAGAAGCACTTGTGACGGCTGCACAGGAACCGAAGGCAAAAGTTTAAGAAGACGCGACTTGGCCATGACAGAGACACTTGCCCCCATGTCCACTTCCATGCGGAGCGGCTTGCCGCAAACGTCAACAGTGACGGTGAAAGGCGGGGGCGGCGTGGCGTAGTCGACTTGCCACATGTCAAAAACTTTGCGAAGTGGTAGCAGCGTCCTGCTTGCGTACCGTATTAACACGATGACGGTTACTTGACGACGGTGAACTGCAAGCCGAGAATGAACGTGCCTTGGTGGGGCTGTTGCTTTGGGCTTGGCTGTCCCTTCGTCGCGAATTGCACACCTTCGCCAAATGACCTCGTTTGTGGCAGTAATTGCAGATTGTCTTCATATGCTTGCATTTTGATGCAAGATGTCCGTCCCCACAGCGTTAGCAGGTGACACCCCCAGAACCTGACGAGACACGGTGAGTCGAGAAAGCGCTGCTTGTGTTCGCTTGCGCCATCTCACTAGCGTCCCTTTTAGGGGCGAAGCTCCTTAGGGCGTGGGCTGTGCGTCCCCTGTAGCCTGTATGTAGCCACCTCTAGTTTAGTTCTTGCAGTGTTCACTAGATGGCGGTACCGTCCCCTGTATGTAACCACCTCTAGTTTAGTTCTTGCAGTGTTCACTAGATGGTGGTACCGTCTCCTGTATGTAGCCACCTCTCGTTTAGTTCTTGTAGTGTTTACTAGATGGTGGTACTTGTAGCTGATGATGAAAAAATGCAAGATGTTATAAACTAGAAAGCGGTACTTGTAGTTGATGAAAGACGCGAGATCCTATAAAATAGGAATGATGTCACATATGGCGCGTGTCATTGGTTGAAGGCAATCGTTCGATTTAGTGCGGCGACGTACGCTAGGGGGAGCGACGTAATAAAATCGAGTGGGCAAAATGTACAGAGGATTCATGGTTTACCAGGTTTACCTCCGGAGCTTCGCCCACTCATCATCATTCACTTCGTGGATATGGCGGAATTTTTTTGCTGCTTCTATTGCCAGGGCGGTCTGCACAGCATCGTCGAAGGTGAGGTCCGGTTTTTCCGGACATCCACGTTGTTTATGCCACACACGACGCGGTCGCGGAGCATGTTTTCGAGTTCAGCCCCGAAGCTGCAGTGCTCGGACAGGCTTTTTAGTGCTGCGATAAAATTGCTGACTGATTCCCCTTCCGCGCGAACGCGCGAGTTGAAACGAAAACGCTGCACGACGGCAGAGGGCTTGGGACAATAATGGCTTCCAAGTACTTGAAGAATCTCGTCCAGATTCTTGTCACTGGGCTTGGCGGACTTGACCAAATTGCAGAGCAAAGCATACGTTTTCTGCCCGCAGCAGCTGATGAACACGGCAGTACGCTTGTCTGGGGCGACATCATTCGCCAGGAAAAATGCTTTGAGCCGGTCCACGTAACAGGGCCAGTCGTCTCCTCCCCCCTCGAATGGCTCGAGGTTGCCGAAACTTGGCATGGTGAACAGATGGCAGGGAGCTACGGGAAAGAAGACTTACATGAAACTTTTTTTCATCCTCGTTGCCAGTTGTTACATGTGTAGATTAACCGATGGCCAGGCGGTAGTGACAACCGTGAACAGTAGGCCATCAGGCTCGCGAAGAACACGAGAACATCTTGAGCCCTCAGCCCAGAACGACCTGTTTTATTATTTCCCAAAACGGCCACCCCACTGCTGTGCCAGGCTTGCACAGCTCAACACAAAACTATCAGCGCTGCGTGGGGGCGCTGCATTTGAACCAACATTGTAACACTAGTGTGTAGCATTATTGGCTCTGATCTGTGTGACAAGAATTGGCATAGTATTAAACATATACAGCTCATAGGCTGTTCTTTTTTTTTTTTCTCCGCTAGACATGCAGGCTGATATAGTGAATTGTGAAAATGAGCGGGATTGCTTTTATCCGATTTAGCAACAGTTATATGAGACTGTGGTTACTTTTAAAATGTGGTGCTCAGCTTTTCCATTTGATAGTCTGCCAAAAATGCTAGCATTTTAAATTGCAGCTCATTTCACAGCACATCTTGGACAACCTGCCATTGTTTCTTACATGGAATTTACATTGATTGTTGTCTGTTTAACATATTTCATTAGAAATAATAATATTTTCGAGATGCTTCGACAATGCTCTGAATTCCAACTAATGTATGGCAAATTTAATATCTGCTCCTAAAGCACCGATAGCTGCTCCATTTTTTTCTGCTCCGGAAACACTTATGGCTGCTCCAAAGCAGAACTTTTCCTGCTCCAAAGTATGCTCCGAAAAGTAAAAACGCACTTCCATCACTGCAGCAAGCAGTGTTGGTTTTTCACAAGGAAACTGGTGGTACTGTACCGGCTGAAGAGCAGACGTACGTGACCATTACAGCAACGTGCTGGGAATGCACGTTGCCGTATGAAAACTCTTTATATAATGTATATGGGGCGCACCACGACTGGGCCTACCACATCGTGTGAATGGTGGCTTGTACTCGGCATAAATTAGATTCCTTCTGCCTTGTCAACGCACGCAATTTTAAACGGGGTGTATTGCCAAATTTCAGCGTCCTTACCTTAGCAATTTTAAAGGGCTCCTGCAACGCCTTTTGAGCGTGGTCACAAAACACTGATGATTGGTAGTACGGTAGAGGCTTCCAAGAACACGCGAGCCAAATATTGTAGCGCAGCACGCGGCCTGGAATTTACAATAAATTATTGAAGTCGGCAAGTTCACAGCAGTGTTTAAAAGCGCTTTGACCACAGCAGCTATGACGACAGAAGCACCAGTGAGGATGACTCCACCGACGATGAGTAGTCTACGTGAATAGATTTCCTTTGTGTGAACTGTGCTCGCATTTCTTTTTTTTTCTTTTTGGGGAACACGCGATTTTGGGGGGGGGTCGATGTACATTCGAATCGACTTACAATCTCGTAAATACGGTAGTCTGTGCCTGGCCCTAGAGCAAGCTATGAACAGAACACTGGTTTGCTTGTGATGACAGGCAACAAGTTTGCTGCTACTTGCGTGCTATTTCGAATAGCAGAACGTTGGTAAAGCATATGCATACCTTATAAAACTAATATATTTCAGGGGCACCTGCCTTGCTATGCCCATATAATTACGTATTTTAGTTGTAAAGCCATGGATGTATAAATTAGTCATCATTTTTAACTTATGCAATATCTTTAGTGAGTATTCTTAGTGGCTGGGAGTCCAGCTGTCGTACATCTAAAGTTTATCTGAATGTCGGACTGTTTGACGAAAGGAATAAAATATGCAAATAACTGAAATATAGCAACAAATTTATTGGTAGCTCAATTTAAGCGTAGATGTTTTGATTTCAGAAAATCTTGGTGCTAGAATTGAAACTGAAAGAGCTCTTTGAAATATCTGTTGGCAAGAGACGATTTAGTATGCGCTTTGTCTAAGTAACTTTTTGCAGTGATATTATGAGCCCTTTTGGCTGCTTACCCCGGAGTTGCTGCAGTGAATTTTTTGCACCTTTCCTGCCAAAGCTTTGAGCATAGTTCGGACTTCAGTTTCGCTATAGCACCATTCGACACTTGCCTCACAGACGAAATTGATAAGACAGTTGAGTTTAGAATAGATGGCTCAATCGGTAGAATGTATCCTTAGGAAGGCACCAAAGGAAAAAATGGCTTTGTGTCAATGAGACGCAACGTAAAATGATGCCAAGAGAAGTATCGAGGAAGTTATTAAAAGTAATTGTAATGTAAAAGTGAAAAAAAAAAGAATGAAAAGTTATCTTTTCGTGGACTTTTCTTCTCATTCTCAGGTTTATCAGTGTAATCTAGTGTAGCACATCTCCCTAATGTCCCCTTATGTGCCGTTTTGATTTTGTGCGCCAGTGCATGCCACAAAGCTCATGGCGAATTTTGTCTGGTATTACTTTTGCACAGTAGCGGAGGTGTGAATGCCTTCCAGCTTTCTATAACCTTAATGAAAACCAGCAGGTAATTAAACCAAAGAATGCATTAGAAACAATTACTGAACTTCTTTAATTTACTGTAGTAATTGTGATTTAGATGAAAACAAAAAAGAGGACGAAAAGACAAATTTCTGCTGGCAAGGATCGAATGTGCGACTTTTGGATTCGAAAACTTTCTTCCTTCATTACAGCTTTGGTGGCTGTTTAAGAATGAAGACGCGGGATATCAGGCTCGTAATCCAGTTTTTGTCCTCATTACAGTGTACATAATCTTTAGTGAATAATTTACTGCCAGGAAAGGCTTGCACAGCAAGGCTTGGCCAATTTGGCAGTTCAGAAAATTGCAATACTGCACAATCGCATTCATATCACTTGTACATAGGTGAATGCCGTGCCTGTTTTTTTACCTTTAATTCCAAGGGTTTGAAACAGTTCGATTTTTACTTGGAAGAGGTCGTCCTTTGTAGTTACTTCAAACAATGGCGTACCTGTGATTTATGTTCCAGGAACGAAAGGGCGGCGTTGTATGCTTAAAGATATTTTAACTCGGCCCACGACTGCGCGGACATAAGAGGAGAAGCGACAAACTGCAGCGCTGTGGTTTGTCCCTTCTTGTGTCTCGCAGTTTCTTCTCTTGTGTCCGTGTAGTTGTGCGCTGAGTTAGAATATGTTTAAGTGCTGTCACCAACTGGCCCAGCTTTCATTCCTTCTAGAGTTGTACGCTGTTGTATGGAAGCATGTTCTGTTTGTGTCAATCGCTGGTCTACTTTATTAAATGTGTCTAGAAACATTCCCAAGCAGCATTCTACAGATTAAAGCTTTCCAGAAATTCTTAAAATGAGATTGCCTCGCGTGTTCACACGTTGCTCAGACCCCGTTTACATTGTTTTGCAGCAAATAAGGACGAACTCCTCGCGTGTAAGTTCTGCACATTCACGACAAGAGATAAGGAACGTATGGCTACGCACGTCGAAACGCACACTGACGAAAAACCTCTCAAGTCTACCAAGGGCAAGCCTGCATCTGCTGACGGGGGCAACTTTGATGCCCGCGCATGGGCACACCGTGGTGAAGCACTGTTTAAGTGCAGCCATTGTCCACATGTATTCAGTGAGGAGGCCCTCCTGAGGCGCCACTTGCTCGTTAGCCATAATCATTAGAAGGGTCGCTCGTCGTTTCGGAGCTCTTCTTGGTTTTCTAATTACTGCAGT